TATATATATATATATATATATATATATATATATATATATATATATATATATACAATAAACCTATAGTCAACTTCTGTGTGCTAGGAAAATATCTCATGAACTACTCAACAGATTATTACAGTAGAACCAGCAAGTCACTGGTTCAAATCCTGGCCCGGGGGCCTTTCTGTGTGGCGTTTACATGTTCTCTCTGCACACGTGTGGGTTTTCTTTGAGTACTCTGGTTTCCTCCCACAGACCAAAAACATGCATGTTAGGCTGATTGGTAACTCTAAATTGTCCCTAGGTGTGAGTGAGAGAGTGAATGGTTGTTTGTCTCGTTTGTCTCTATGTGTCCCTGTGATGGACTGGAGACCTGTCCAGGGTGTCCCCCGCCTCTCACACACTGATTGCTGGACATGGGCACCGGCGACCCCGGTGACCCAAAATGGAAGAAGCGGGTGAAAGATAATGGATGGATGGATGGACAGTCTAATTCAAGATGGCTGCCTCATCAAATCAACAAAGCCAAAACAAAAACGACTAACTCAGTCAACTTTACAGACACTGAACTAACATTTGATGTGTCAGCAGCTGAGAGTCGTCCTCAAAACACAGAATGAAGTCCACCTTCTGTGACATGGTGTGAGATCCTGGGTAACACAACTTTCAAGGTTTGATAAAAAGGCCACTACTCTCTTTCCTCAACATCAGATGGTCTTATTGTCATTAAACAAGTTTGTTTTATGGTTTCAAATATAGTTGTATTTAAAAATGAACCCACTGGTGGGCCGAAATGAGTTCACGCGTGGGCCTTATTTGGCCCCTGGGCCGCCAGTTGATTAGCATTAAAGGCGGCGGGTGATGTGCATTCCCAGGCGTGCCAGGACTTCCTGTTCATGTTGCGTGTTCCACTCTGCTTGGTCACCCGCTGAACACAGAGCTGTCTGTGTGTGCAATGTGCGCGTGAAAGCGGGTTCTTTGAAGTCGGTGTGGCTGATCGCGGATCAGCTGCACGCGCTTCAGATCACAAAGCCACCCCCTCCCCCCCTCCCCTCCCCACCGTCTCCGCCTTTGATGTGAGCGCTGCTGCAGCTGCGGCTCGGAGCTTGGAGCGGGTCTGTGCGGGCTCACAACCACACGGCGAGCGGGCTGGTGCGGGACACACGCCGCCGCACCTCTCACCGGTCTGCCGCCTGGTTTTACCTTCATCCCCGCTTCGTTCTTCAACAGGTAAGAAGTACTTTTTGTGTTTTTAGTTTGGACCCTGTCGGTTCAGTCGAGCTAGTTCTTAGCTCTGATGTAGAGAGGCTACATGAAGGACTTGTTTGGTTTCTGTGAAGATATGGAAGCTCTTCTAAACATAATTATAGCAAAGCGTGTCTTTAACATTCATCCTATTCTGCCCAGCAACACATAAAATGTAGTCGTAATTTAAACAAGTGAAGGATGAGCAGCATCTTTGAACGAACTCTTCCTTCAGAAAACAGTTCTGTGACTTGATGCCTTCACCGTGAGTTCTCATTGAGCCAAGGTTTGAACTTTCTTTCATCAATAGAAGAAAATAAATGTGAAAAACTGCTTTTGAGAGGGGAAGATTTTGACATTGATTTATTGTTGTCAGGTGTTGCACAGGAGAAATGCTCACATTGATCTTTTTTTCTTCTTTCACTTTAATGCCGCGTCGTAGTGTCAAAGTTTTATTTATTGCAGATATCTAAGATATGAACTAAGAAAAACATTAACTAAAAAATACACTAGTATAAAAACAATACGCCAAACAGCAGCACGAACATGAGTCAGTGTGAGCAGATGAGCACGAATGAACATGAAACAGATCAGCAGCAACATGAAACAGATCAGCAGCAACATGAAACAGATCAGCAGCAACATGAAACAGATCAGCAGCAACATGAAATAGATCAGCAGCAACATGATGTGATTTTTCACAGTGATTATACCATGGTTAAAATTGTATATGTGGTTCATTAGCTTTCTGTAATTTTGTGAATGGCTCCATTCAGTCAGTAATCAAATTCAAATTGGCAAAATTAAGAATTAAGAGTTGATAGAATTTAACAAACAATGTAAATAGAATTTGTACAATGGGGTCAATCGGATGACAGACCATTAAGGGTTGCTTTACTTTGTTTTAGTAATCTCAATTATTCTTTTTTTGACAGTGGGTTAGAGATTCATGAGTCTAACAGCCTCAGGGTAGAAGCTGTTCCTCAGTCTAGTGGTTCTACACTTAATGCTCCTCAACCTCCTTCCTGAGGGGAGTGGGGCAAAAAGTGTGTGCTGGGTGAGTGGGGTCCTTCATGATGCAAGTGGCCCTCTTCCTGCATGTTTGCCTCCTAATGTGAGCTCAATGAAGCTTGTGATTACAAAGCAGACATCAAGTGAAAGTCTTTGTAAATGTTTATCCCCATTTAAAACACGTTTCCTGCAGTTTATTTGAAAATTGTTAAATATGAAATGAAACTGCAAGTTTAATCAGTGTGACACTTTCAGGTTTGGAGTGTTTTAATATGTTTAACAAGCTTGATCTTGCCTACATTTGTGAAAGTGTCATGGTGATATTGTGTGCGCATGCTCAAGTGTTTGGTCTTTGTCTCATCCGGAAGCAACAAGCTGTCCATCAAAATGCCTCGGAGACTTGAGCACGCCGTGTCGTTCCTTCTAGCTGCGCATCTCATCTCTTCAGCTCTGGTGAGTCCTGTACTCTATCATTCACATCATGTGTATTATCATGATATCATGTAATGTCATAACGATGTGTACATTTTCAGAAACTACCACACATGCTTGAGTTTGCAAACCTTGATTAAACAGAAGAAGCTTGATGGTTTCAGTGTGTGCACAAACAGTACCATACTTGTTGCTGTATCAGTCACACCTTTCTGCATAAATTTCCATTCCCTGCAACTTATACAGCGAAACGACTTATTTATGTATTTTTGCCAAGATTTATAACCCAATTTTTGGATGAGCTCAGACAATTTTATTCATTCTAACATGGAAAATGTTGAACACTACCATTTTTAGCCACTAGAGGTCCCTCGACTAATATGGCTAGCCAAATGTCTCATTAATAGATAAAAGTGGCTATTAATGAGACGCTTGGCTTGCCATACAAGGCCACCCTGATCTCACTCCTGAACTCCTCGTATAAACATCAAATCAGCAGGATTTTGCCGCGCAGCCCAGGAGAAATGCAGCTGATTTGACCATTAAAGTGATTTTTTTTAAGGAAAAGTTCAACTGAGACACGCCATTATTATAATGTCGAGCAAACAAATAATTGTTTTTAAGTGTTATTCTTGTTAAATTCTTGTATGGTGTAGAGGCAGGGCAGCCGGCTTGGGACCCGAAAGTCCCAGGTTCGATCCCCAGTCACTGCACATCACGTGGCGTCTCTGGGCAGCACACCTCATCCCCAAAATGCCCCCCGGGCGCTTTCAATAGCTGCCCACTGCACCACCTGGTGGTGGATGGGTTAAATGCAGAGACTAATTTCGCCATTGTATGGAAACATACAGTGCTGACATTGTGATGACATTATTATTATTATTATTATTAAAGTCCTCCCGTGCACGCTCCCACAGCCGCCATTTGGCAGCCATTTGATTTTTGGCACAACACCAGCCCACGTTTCCAGGTGGTCAGCAGTGACGCATAATAGATGCAACTTATACGGCGAAGTGATGTATTTATGTTTTTTTTCCACTTTCTATTTTGACTGATGCAGCTTATACGGCGGTGTGACGTGTACGGCGGCAAGTGCGGTACTTGCCTCCTCCAGCGTTAGAGGACTGTGGGATTGATCAAAACTTTACTGAAGACTGTCAAAATGTCTCATTTTACTCCTATTATACTCTTCTGGTTGTATTTGTTATCAGACACCCTGGTTTTTGGTGATCTCTGTATTGTTGCCAGCTATAAAATAAAAGGACTCACCAAAGTTTGATCTTATCTCATACCTGCTGTTTCAGACTAATTTTCAGGTGGAGTCTCTGGTAAGGCCTAGTTCCCTGTAATGCAGACAAGGTGATGAGCAGCTGTGGGATGAGCCTGCTATATCTGCTGTGGATAAATGTGGTGATGGAAAGCAAGAATCTCTGATTTGCACCAAATGTCCAATGCCCTCAGATCCCTGCGAAAGCCATGGAGGAGGGCAGAGAGTGCAGAGAACAGGAGTACAAGGACCGCTTCGGGAGCTGCAAACCCTGCAAACAATGTGATGCTGGACAGGAGATTTCTAAGGTTGGAGCATTGAACTGATCTTCTATCTCACTGTCTTTATGTCGCCTACATGTCTGAACTATCGGTGTGTGACACATTGATCCGATACAAAGTAAATAAGGGCCCAAATCACTGATTTCAATATTGATACAGATACAGATAATTAAAAAAAACAAGTGGATGCATTATATTGCTAAATCCTAATGGAATTTTACAACCTTATTTTATCTTTTCAATTAGATTATTAATTAAATAAAACTCAGCAAAGACGCTGGACAAAATTTATGGGTAAATTGACAATAATTTAATACTTCTTGTTGTATCGTTTTACAACACAGCACTCCTCCTCCTATCTGACATTTCCTGAATATGCCAGACCTTGAGTCACATGATGGTACAGCATTAAAGCACAAGAAGGAGAGGAGGAGCAGAGTATGGCTGCGCCGCTGCACGCAGTAAGAGCGGTATTTGGAAGCAGCGGACGTACACAGACAGCTACGGAAAGCCAGTAAAACCACAGCAAACTGAAACTATGGTATCAATACACTGATATAATTCAATGTCAATCCTTATGGCAGCATTGATCGATACGCCCACCACAACTATGAACTGAAAATACCCCTGTCCATTATTTTTTTAAAGAATCAAGGACCTAGCATTCCATATGATCTGCTGCCTTTCATGCTAGAGTTTTAAACAAAGATCATCCTAGTTCGAGAAATGTCAAAGTTGTATCAGTTGCAAGCTTGTGTGATGTTGCGAGATGTCATGCTCAAAACATGTTTCTAATGATTCTCAGCTTCTACCATGTCAAATTTTAGCACAATATCTGTAAAACTGACTGAATTAGAGCTTTTTTTGTGATTTCTAAGGCCATTTGGCTGTGGTGGCCATCTTGAACTGGATATGTTCATCAGCTGTACATGTGCATCCACTGATTATTTGCTGAAAATTAATTCAAATGTGATATTTGGGTAACAGGATATTTTGTTAACAGACAGTTAACTTCAGTAGTTTAAGCTAAATTTTTAAACAGTACAGTCCATTAGCACTCAGAGTATACATTAGTATCACTTAAGTTAAGGTTTGTAGATTATTTGTGGTAGCCATCTTGAAAACGGTGTACACCAAAAGTTACTTAATTGTTTATGTTCATCCAATGATTTCTCTAAGTTTCTTTTTTTTTTTTATTACTTGGGTGACTCATGAGATGGTTTGCTACGGATTCAGACCAATGAACACAGGCACACACCCGGTCACGGGCACAAACATGATTGTTTTGCCTTCACCTTTAACAGCAGGCGATAAATATTGAGTGTAGTGACACAATTCATGACAAGTCAGTCCTATCAATTTTTGCTTGAGGTAAAAGTTTAAATGGTAAATTATGTTGAAAAAATTCTGTTGCTGTTGTTTCAACTGCTCCCTTCTTTAGGGTAGCCACAGTGGGTGATGTTGCATGAAAGATTTGGCATTTGTTTCACACAGGATGCCCTTCCTGACGCAACCTGGGCTCGAACCTGCAGCCTCAGGATTACAGGACCATTGACCACAAAGTATTGCAGGTCCCTGTTGGAAACAATATAGATGAGCGGTTGAAAAATCTGTATGGGACTGTTTAGAAAAAACATTATTCATTACATTATATGTAGTCTTTCACACAAAGAGCAACCAAACCATTATTGGCTCCTTTAGATTGCTGACCCTTCTTTAATCAGTCACACCCATACTTTTGACCTCCTGCAACTGAATGGCTTCTATTGTTTTTCCCCATCGTTCCCCAGCCAATTTTATTGTCCATGCTCTGAAGCAAGCCATGCCTAAGCTTGCTGCTCTCTCAACAGGGAATACAGTTTTTTCCCGCCCCCTTAACCACAGTTTTAGTGTGCTTTGTACAAACAGGCCTCTGTAGTGTCAGTTAAGGCTGGTAAGCAAAAACGCTTTCCTCTTTAGCAGCAATCATGCACCTACCTACACACCTTTGAACGTGTAGTAGGCAGTGATGTAAAGGCAATTAAATATGATTTAACTAGTGGCAAACAAGGAAAAAATAATTTGCTATTGTATTTATTACAACACGCAAAACTGATTCAGCAGAAGATAATGTTGGGATGTTTTATTTTAAACCATCCAAAACCTTTTTTTTGAGATTAGCTAAGATATATTCCAATAAACAATTCAATAACCCAAATAGCCTCTATCAATTTTTCTGTAATTCTAGAGCACTAGAGCTGTATTTTGACATTTGTGGGGAAGCTGTAAAACTGTCTATATCTAAAATCTGTCCCAATGATATATACAGTAATTAATATTATTAAATAACTGGTTTTAAATTAGTCTATCTTAATTCCTAAATTATTCATAAATTGTACAACAGTAGATTAAACTAAAAAAAAACTCACCCAGAAAAGAAAAACTAGGGAACCTGGGGGGGGGGGGGGGGGGGGGGGCCCCGCCCCGATGTCCCCCTAGGCGGGGGTTTGGGCCCCCCCCGTCGGCCGGGTTGAAAAAAAAAAAAAGAAGAAACCCCCCCGCCGGGGCCCCC